GCTGCGTCTGCTCTCGTTGCTGATGTTAGAGATTAAGGACGGAGTCTATGAAGATTAGGGGCTGAAATATCTCAAAATCGTCAACTACAATTCTAAACAGAAAAATCGTCGTCACAAGAAACGTCGTCGACGAAAGGTCCACTGTTAGAATTCTTTCAAACTCGAGTATGTTGTAGCCCTTGACCGTGGCTATCTTTCCCAATTTGAATAGTATCAGAATATGGAGTATAACTCGAGTTATGAACTTCGGCGCACTAGGGGGTATGCTGCCATAGAAAACGTAACTCAATCACAATGATCTCACAAGTTCACACAAGAAAGTTAGAGTAGCAATAGAACCAGGTAGGAGGGGATGAGGAGGACGAGAGGGAAGGTCCCAAGAGAGTCCCCAACCAAGGAAACCCCATGCCATACAATTCCCTTCCCCATAGGCAACCCAACTTTGACCTTTGTCACTATCCCAACCTCCACAATCCACCTCAACCCAACTTGGCCACACTTGCCAACCTGGTTTGGTTTCTCCCAACCATTTGGCAGCAACTACAGTAGAAAAGACGAATTTCCCAACCCCCAAAAGTCTGTACCCCATATTGAGTCAACCCCACAACTTCCCATAGTCACCACAACCAAATATCAAAAGCATACGAACTCCAACGTTCGTAACTTTCTAGTTCGTGCTCCGATTGAAGCGATACTTGGTTCCTCGGAAAGCTCTTGAGCAGAGGAGTCACTTCAGATATCTGCTCAAGCCAAATAACATTCACACACACACTCAGAAAAACCAAACCGCACAAAACACAAATTATTGCACACACTCACAACACGCATGCAACGCACGAACATATGATGGGAAGCAGACAGACGTGAATGCGAATGGTAGCATCACTCAACAGCTGAGCTGCTTGACTTTGCTGCTGCCTGTTGTCTAGACTACGCCACTGCTCTTGTTGTTGTGTCTGCGTCTGCCAGTCCTCCGTCCGTCAGGGGTGAGTGTGCTCTTGGCACGGACGTCCTTGAGGACAAGCAGGAGGACTTTGAGTCTCTTGCAACTCCTGTACCTCGTTTCGCTTCCATTCTGCTTGCCCCTGAGGGAGACCCGGATGCTCCAGACATCCCGACCCCGTGCTCTTATGTAGAGGCGATTACGGGTCCTTACTCCTCTCAGTGGCAGGCAGCCATGGATGCCGAGATGGCATCCAGGCACAGGCACCTACGTCGACGAGGTTCCCCCACCTGGGGCGAACATAGTCGATGGCATGTGGATCTTCAGGGTGAAGCGGCCGCCGGGTTCTCCGCCTGCCTTCAAGGCACGTTACGTTGCTAGAGGCTTCAGTCAGTGACAGGGAGTTGACTACTTCCAGACCTTCTCCCCCACCCCGAAGATGACAACTCTTCGGGTGTTGCTGCACGTCGCTGCTCAGCGTGACTACGAGTTGCACTCTCTGGACGTCAGCACAGCTTTCCTGCAGGGCAGCCTGCACGAGGAGATCTGGTTGCGCCACCCACCTGGTTTCACTGAGTCTTTTCCTGCAGGTACTCAGTGGAGTCTTCGGAAGCCAGTCTACAGTCTCCGTCAGGCGCCTCGTGAGTGGCACGACACACTGAGGACTACACTTGCGGCTCTTGGGTTTGCTCCTGCTAATGCTAACCCGTCGCTGTTTCTACGCACCGACACCTCGCTGCCGCCTTTCTACGTCCTTGTCTACGTCGACGACCTCTTCTTTGCCACTGTTGACACTGAGGCACTGACCCTTGTGAAGTGGGAGCTGCAGAAGAGACACACCTGCACTGACCTGGGTGAACTGCGCAGCTATCTTCGCTTGCAGATCACCCGGGACAGAGCTCGGCGCACCATTACCCTAACTCAGTCACACATGGCGCACTAGGTCCTTCAGCGCTTCGGCTTCTAGTTCTCCTCGCCACAGCCCACTCCTCTGTCTACCAGCCACTCGCTCCCAGCTCCACCTTTGGACGAGTCCGTAGAGCCGAGTGGTCTGTACCCAGAGCTTGTGGGTTGCCTCATGTACCTGATGACGTGCACTCGACCCGACCTCGCGTACCCTCTCAGCCTCTTGGCTCGCTACGTGGCTCCCGGCAGGCACCGAAAGGTGCACTGGGATGCTACGAAGATGGTACTGCGTTACTTGTGCAGTACGTCAGGCATGGGGCTCGTGCTTGGAGGACGGGCTCGAGTTGTCCTCACCGGTCACGCAGACGCTTCCTGGGCTGACGACTCAGCTACGCAGCGGTCGTCACAGGGTTACACCTTCAGCCTTGGCTCTGGCTCTGTCTCTTGGCGGTCTTCGGTTCTCAGCTCCAGTTGTGAGGCTGAGATCTACACTGGGGCCATGGCTGCACAGGAGCTACGCTGGCTCACCTACCTGCTGACTAACTTGGGAGAGCAGCCTAGTTCGCCTCCAGTTCTGTACGTAGACAACAAGGCCATGATTGCCTTGCGTCAGGAGCACAGACTGGAGCACAGAACGAAGCACATCGCTCTGCGATACTTCCTTGCTCGAGAGTTGCAGCAGCGTGGCCAGCTTCGTCTTGCGTACGTGGCCACTTGGGCCAACACTGCTGATGTCCTCACCAAGGCACTTCCGTCTGGTGATCATCAGCGTTTTGTTACTGTGTTAGGCCTTGTGCCTACTTTGCCTCACTTGCTTACTCCGTGACTTTGCTTGTACTGTGATCTATATTTATACCTGCATGCTTGCACTTGCTAGGGTATGATCACTGTATTGTTTGTTTCTCTTTTATATATAACACTGCATGTGAACTGGCCTTGTGGCCCTTTGCTTGTGCTCGGACTGTGTGGTGACTTTGTGATCCTCCCTGAGCTTGCCTTGCTTTTGTTGACTGGTCTTGTGACCACTTGTTCTCCCCCACTTTGCCTATGGGGGTGTGTCAGAACATTATAGCTTTTACATTTGTGTAGGGTTAGTACTTGTACCCAACTGTTTGTTAGTTCATTCATTCTCGTTCGTTACTCAAACAGGAGGCGTATGAGATAGTTAAGCGGGTGGAGTCGGGGCAGCGCCTGTTTGAGGTGGAAAGCACGGTGGATCGGGGACCGGAAAGAAGGCGCCCGGCGTAGGCAGCTGCGCCAGCATTCCCAGAAGGCGAGGAACGGTCGAGAACAAACAATCTCTGCAGCAACAACTGTGGGCAATCGGGTCACCTGCGCCGGGACTGCCGCAATCCAGCGGCGTATTCGTTGTGCGGCAATCCCGCACACATGCGGCTGGAGTGCCCAGAGGCACCAACCTGTGCATGGTAGGTGCGGCGAGGGCATCGGGAAGGGGATTGCTACGCGAACAGAAAGAAACGACGGGGAGTGGAGGAAGGAGGAGATCGACAAGCGACCATGGCGCGCTTGAGTTCGCAGCTCGCAGAACTGGAAGCAGCAGAAGAGAAGCTCCCGGCGATGGTGGCGTAAGGAGAGGAGGAGTCAGAAGAACCGGCGTTCATGCTGATGGCACAGCCGGTGAGGGACCGGGAAGAACTAGGCTTGAGAGTCGGTGCGCGGAGGCAGTTATTTCCGCAGGATGTCCGGCGCGAAGACGGACCGAGGAGGCAGGCTAGCAAAGAAGATGACAAGGCAGGAGCGGCATACCGACATCCTCGGGAGCGCATGGCATGTCAGGCCACGGTTTTGACAATCGAACTAGGAGCGATCTCGATTGGCGGACTAACGGTGCAGCACGCGATCGTGGACACAGGGGTGGCGCACGTATTAATTGGGAAGTGCCTGGCGGAGAAGATGCAATTGCACGAGCTAGGGAGGCTGATTGTAGAGGGATACCTGTTAATGACAGCAGAAGGAGGCTAGGCGAAGTGGATGCCAAAATCAAGGCAGGCGATGGCGCTGATGATGAACCCAAGGACGCCTAAAGAGTGCGCACTGCGGATGTACTGCGTAGTGTCCGAGTCAGAAGACTTCGTTCTTCTGATTGGGGTGGATTTTCTATTTGGGGTGAGGTCAACAATATGCATGTGGGAGGAGAAGGTCGAATACCGAGTGCACTACTGGGAGAAGCGAGGCCTCATCGGTATGCTGCCGGTGCGCTTCGTGCGGAGGGAGCCAAGGGAGGCGTATCAATGAACCGAGGCGGAGGTGCGCGAGGAGTTAGGGGTGCCGACATGGTAGCAGATTGCCCGTCTGCCTGCAGCAACCACTGGGCAAGAGGAGGCGGAGGTGGAGTTGAAGTCCCTGTGCGCCAACACCAAGAAGCTGTTGGGACCCACAGTGGTGCTGGAGCTCTTTGGAGGCATAGAAACCAGGTTAGCAGCACTCTTGAAGGCGATGGCACATGTGGAGATGGATCTTGGTGGAGGGCGACATGGAGGCGGTGAAGATGGCATGGTGTCATGCTGAGCAGCTGCAGCATAGGTACCCGCGTCAATTCTGCAAAGTGTCAATGGAGGCGAGTGCATTGTGCGGGAGCTGTGACATTCGCAACATCGACGAAGCCACGATCACGCGCTGGGGAAAAATTGATGTGGTGATCGCAGGGTGGGAGTGCCAAGGATACCCAAGGGCGGGAGAAGGCAGAGGCATGCAAGATGAGCGGAGCAGGCTGTTCAGGGAGCTGGTGTGAGTACTGAAGCTGATAAAGCGCGTGCAAGGGGAGGTCTTGTACATCGTGGAGAACGTGGACATGGAAGGGGATGTGAGTGAGCAAGTGCAAGTCGCACACGAGGAGGTAACGGCAATCTTGTGGCCAGGAGTTTCTGCTGATGCTGCGCAAGCCGTAAACAGGACACACCGCGTCCACCGGTACTGGACAAACGGAGTAAGTGAAGCAGCGCTGCAGTACGGGCTGTCACTGATGGAGCAACCCGTGCCTCTGCTGGTGGAGGACATCTTGGAAGTGGGGAGGATGCCTGCACCTGTGACGCAACCCGACCACCCCACGCAATTTCCATGCAATGAGGTGGGACAGCCGAGGCAAGCCTGGCCGACGTTCGTCTCGTTTGAAGATGTAGCGGCATTCAAGATGCAGGACGGAACGCCAGGCCCAGGGATGGTGTATGATTGCGCTGCGCAGGAGTGGCAGGAGCTGACGGCTTTGGAGAGGGAGCTGGCAATGGGCTTCATAGAGGATGCAACAGCGCACCCTGAGGTAACGGAGAAGGAGCAAAGAAGAGCGCTGGGAAGGGCAATGTACCTCAACGTCATGCACTGGCTGGTGGCACCCATTCGCATGTACCATTCACAGCTGAGGTGGGAGCGGAAGCGAGACAAAGCAGCGGCTGTACAGCCCCCGACGGAGAGATCGGCGGCGAAAGAGGCGGTGGTGCGAGCAATGCTGGGAGAGATAGAGAATGATGAAGTTCAGCACAAACAAGGGCACCGGGTGGAAAGGAGGTGGGTTTACCCATGGGAAGAGGAGGACGAGGTGCCGGTGCAATATGCGGAGCAGGCGGAGATTCGGCTACCTGGGAACGGGGAAGAAGCCGCAGTGGACAAGAAGAGGGAGGACTTCAACTGGCTCGAGGAAGCTATCGAACGACAACGCAGTAGGGAGAGCTACGAGCGGGAATTTGGATCGTGGGAGTTCGCGCTGGTGGCCATGACAAAGGAGGGGGACAATACCGAAGGGAAGCCACAAGAGGAAGGGGGAGCAGGGAGTACAGCGGCAACAGCTCAGAAGCCAGAGACCGGTCCGGAAGGACACTTGTCAAAAGGGGAGAAAATCCAACCGCAGCCGGCAATGGAGGTGAAGGAGTGGGTGATAGGGGAAGGCATTTCAGAGGAGGATGCGGAAGCGCTCAAGGAGGTATTGTCCCGCTATATGCCAGCCTTTGCGTACACGTTAAAAGAGGTGGGAAGGTGCAAAGTGGCGGAGGTGAAGATCGAGCTGACAACAGAAATTCATGTGTACCAGCGGTGGCTAAGGATGACACCGGAGGAGATTCAGATCTGCACCGAGAAGTGCCAGGAGCTGGAGGCGGGATTTATAAGGAAATCGAACTCGGAGTATGCAGCAGCGACGATGGTGGCGGCTCGCACAGATCTAACAGGGCAGGTGCTGTCTAAGCGCATGTGCGGGGACCACAGAGACCCGAACAAGGTGACAATCATGAAGCGGTACCAGACGCCGAGACCGGATGAGATTTTTGACAAATTAGCAGAGCCACTGGTCTTCTCAACCTTGGATTTACGACAGGGGTTTAACCAGATCCCGATAGCTGGAGCGGATAAGAGGAAGACGACATTTCACGGGGCGGATGGGCAGTATGAGTGGCATACACTACCGTTCGGGCTAAAGTCAGCCTCGGCAGAGTTTCAAAGGGTGATGGATCAGGTGTTGCGCAACGTGCCAAACACAGCGTGCTACATCGACGATGTGATTGTCTTTAGCACGGACAGAAGGTCGCATGTGAAAGATGTGGAAGCCGCGCTCAAGGCTATTCATGAGGCGGGTCTGACATGCCACCCAGGAAAGTGTAAGCTCGGGCAAACGACAGTGGAGTACCTGGGGTTCGAGGTAGAAGGAGGACTGATTGGGATCCAGCAAGCAAAGGTGGATGTCCTGGACAGGGTGGCGGTGCCAAAGGACAGGAGCACCCTGTGAGCGTCATTGGGCTTCCTGAAATACTACAGGAAGTTCGTGCCGAACTTTAGTAGAAGGGCAACCGTTCTGAACCACCAGTTGTGGGAAGATCAGAAATGGGAGTGGGGTCCAGAGCAGGAGAAGGGGGTGCAGGATCTGATGGGAGCGGTTAAGAATGGCACAGCCCTAGAGTTGCCAAAGGCAGATGCACCTTTTACGCTGTTCTCCGATTGGAATAGTGCAGGCATGGGGGCAGTGCTGACTCAAATGAAGGGCGAGGTGGAGAAAGTGGTGGCCTTCGTGAGCATAAGCGGCAACGCCGCGGAGGCAAATTACTCATACAAAGGGGAAGGGCTGGCCGTGGTGTGCCAGTGAAACATTTTCGAGTGTACCTGCACGGCAGGAAATTCACACTCGTGACGGACCACCAGCCGTTGCTATGGCTAATGCAAACTCCAGACTTGACCAGGCGCAATGCGAGGTGGGCCATGAAGCTGCAGGAATACGACTTCGAGATCAAGCATCGGCCGGCAAAACCATGCAGCATGTGGACGGGCTGTCGCGCAATCCGCCAGTAGTGCAGCCGTCCGCATGCCTGATGGCCATGGCAAAAGAAGCTGATCGGGAAAGGGAATGGGGGGAGGTGAAAGCGGGGCCAGCAGACATCTGGGAGGACAAGGAGGCACTAGCTTGGATTCAGGGGACAACAAGGGAAGGAGGAGCAAGGTCAGCAAGGGTGCGAGCCAGGGGCGAGTACTATCGCTGGTACAAAGGGCAGGTGCAGCTGCGAACCGGAGAAGGTTGGAAGCATGTGCCGGCTCCAGGAGAGAGAGAGGGCATCATCCGGGAGGTACATGAGAAAATGGGGCACTACGGACCGCTTTGGACCCAGCAGCTATGCAGAGAGGATGGTGGTGGGCAGGCATGTGCAAATAGATAAAGGATTGGGTGTGGCACTGTGAGGCGTGCTGCATGAACCGAGCAGTGATGGAACGAGAGAAGGTGGAGCTGCAGCCTCTCCCCATAGTCAGCTTGGGCTACAGATGGTCACTGAATATTGCGGGGGAGTTACTGGTGACCACAAAAGGGAGAAGGTACATCCTACTGATGGTGGAACACGTGAGCAAGTGGGCAGAGGCAAAGCCCCTGGTGCACAGACGGCGGAGACGATAGCTGAGGCATTTGAGGAGTTAGTCATCACCCGACTGGGGGCATGTGGCAAGGTTTTGACAGACCAAGGCACGGAATTCCAAGGAGAATTTGATGAGTTGCTTAAGGCCAGTGGCATCAGGCATCATAGCACCTCACAGTGTCATCCGTAGAGTGACGGTTTAACAGAGAGTTTGGTGCAGACAGTGAAGAGGGGGCTGAGGGCGTATGGGGAGGCACATAAGAGAGACTGGGACAAGAAGCTATGCTGGGTGATGGGGGGGTACCGATTCAGTAAGCAGGCTGCGCTTTGAGATGTCTCGCCGTACTACCTGCTATTCTGCAAAGAACCAGTGATGCCAGTAGTGGCTCTGAAGTTGCTGGTGGATGTCATCACCATAGGCTCAGTGGAGAAATGGATTGCAGTAGCAGAAGCGCGGGCAGCCTACTTGCGACAGCTACTCGCTGCAGCATTGGAGAACCTGCACGTGGCGCAACTTTGAGACATAGAGAGGTACAAGCAGCGGCAGGAGGCAGAGTGCAAGGGAACAGGAGCAGGGGTGCAGGAAGGAGAAGTCTATTTGAGGAGACAGCATAGGCATGCGCTGGATGTGGGCTTGTTCCAGCAGCGGTGGACCATGAAGGAAGTGAAGCATTCAGAAGTATAGTGCTTGAGGATGGGAAGGGCAAACGCGTGGCTAACCATGTTACTAACGTGGCCAGGATCCGCACGGATAAGGCAACTGAGAAGGCAGGACCCTCGGATCCCATGACGTGCTCGAGGACGGCTGCTATGTGGCATGGGAGGGGGCAGGAAGGGTCAGAACAGAATCAGAGCAATGGTAAAGGCAAGGAGAAAGTAGGGTAAAGGAGAGGGAGGGGATAATGGGATAGAAGGGAAGGGAGCCAGAGTGAGAGGAGAGAGAGCATCAAGTGGGCAGGGCTGTAACAAGCCACACGTGAGTGAGGACAGAGAGGCAGAGATGAGGAATTTCGACAGCTGCCAGAATTTTAAGGTTCATGCTTGAATAATTCTGACAGAGGGTTACGGCGTGGGTGTACTGGAGGAACGTGTACATTTGTATATAACCTGGGTGCCTTGCAGCGTGTACGAGGAAGGGAAGTGGCGAGCGAGGGCGGGCAACTTGGCAGTCTGAACAGAGTGGGATGGGACAAGGCAGAGGGTGGTGAACTGGGGAGGAGGGTGGGCTGGTAACTGGGCAGATAGCTTGGGGGTGTATTCGGGGCTGACGAATGAGATGTGTGGTGTGCATGTGTATGTGTTTAGTTTGTTTTCACAGACACCGAGTCCAGGAAAGCTGGAAGACATTGCCGCCAGCTGGAGGAGGCAGAGTGAACTGCTAGATTGCAAGCTAGGTAGTTAGCATCCATTTGCTAGACTTGCCTAGCTAGGGTTTGAGATGGGAAGCTTAAGGCTGGAAACAGGGCCATGGGACTGCCACTGCATGTTTGTTTTCGCAAATTACTGTGATTTCTTTTTCAAAGATAAGTAGTTCCTAGCAGAGCCATAACAAGCAGTCTGAATGGGGTAGGAAGGGTCGGAAATTACAGGAAGGGCCAAAACAGAATCATAGCAATGGTAAAGGCAAGGAGAAATTGGGTAAAGGAGAGGGAGGGGATAGTGGGAGAGAAGGGAGAGGAGCCAGAGTGAGAGGAGAGAGAGCATCAAGTGGGCAGGGCTGGTAATAAGCCACACGTGAGTGAGGACAGAGAGACAGAGAGGAGGAATTCTGACATCAAGTTATCATTTTTGGCGCACTAGGGGGTATGCTGGAGCTGAAACTTAACTCAATCACAATAGTTCAATCAGGTTCCAAAAAGAGGAATTGAAGTAGCAAGAAACCAGGTGGGAGATCAAGAGAAGGACGAGAGGGAAGGTCCCAAGGGAGTCCCTAACCAACCAAACACCATAAGCTCACAAAATCCCCTCCCTATAGGTACCCAACTTTGACTCTTGTCAATTTCCCAACCTCCCAAATCCACCTCACCCAAATTGGCCACACTTGCCAACTTGGTTTGGCTTCTCCCACCCACTTGGCAGCAACTACAGTAGAATGACGAAATTTACCAACCCCCAAAAGTCTATACCCCATACGATCGCAACGATTCTTTGTTTGTCAGAAAGCTCTTGAACGTAGAAGTCATTTCAGATATCTGCTCAAGCAAAATAACATTCACACACACTCACAAAGTCCAAACCATGCCAAACACAAAGGCTTACACATGCGCACACCACGCATGCAACGTACGAACATAAGATGGGAGGCAGATGGACGTGAATGCAAATGATAGCCTCACACAACAAAGGAGGACCCAGACCTAAACACCACCTGCAGGTCGCACCTTTTCAACCATGATAACAAAGTAGATGCAAATGGCTTCCTTGAAGCTGAGAGGCGAAGGGGGAATAAGTGGAGAGCAGCAGCAGCATGACGCATTGCTGGTACTGCAGAGCATTTGTGATTCTGATCAGGAGTCGGAGGAGGAGGAGGTGTACTGTTTCATGGCACCTGCACCGACTCAGCCACTGACCATGGAGGAGGCCCTTAACGGACTAGACAGGGACAAATGGCTAGTGTTACGAGATGCAGAATACAACAGCCAGATGGAGAATGGGACTTGGGAGCCGGTGCCGTTGCCTATGGGGAAGAAAGCCATAAACTGTGGATAGATTCCTATGATTAAAACTGACAACAAAAGAGCCGTGTCAATTTACAAGAGTAGGCTGGTTGCAAGGGGGTATCACCAGAAGGAAAGGGAGGACTACAAGGAGACATTTGCTGCAACTGCGAATCCGCCAACACTGCGTGTTCTCCTCGCAAGTGCAGCTGTGTGTGGGTAGGTGATAGTCCAGATGGATATCACCACAGCCTTCCTCTATGGGCTGGTAGATGAGGAGGTGTTCATGATGCAGCCGCCGTGTTATGAGGATGGTACTGGGCGTGTGTGTAAGCTAAAGAAGTCATATATGGCCTCAAACAAGCACCACGTTCCTGGTACAAGAAGCAGGCTTCAGTGTTAGAAGAGATAGGCTTTAGGGCGAGCGCATGCAACGAGAGCCTTTTTTCTCATGGGGAGAAGGATTCCCTTGTGATGTTCTTGGTGTACGTCGACACCATCCTGCTGTTTAGGAGCAGCAAGTAGGAGGTGATGAAGGTGCTGTCAACGGGAGTTGTT